TTTTTTTTTTTTTTTTTTTTTTTTTTTTTTGGTACTGGGGATCCAGGGATCAAAGTTGGAACCTTGTGCTTGCGAAGCAGGCAGCGGAACCACTGAGCTAACTCCCAGGCCCTAAAATTTTAGCTATAAATAGCCACTAATTGTAGAATTTTAGGCAGTTGAGGAATGTTTGGGGGCATCACATGAGCCAGCCAGATCTTAGCACACTTAAAATTGCATTTTACACAGCTGGTTCCCTCTGTGCCTATGATTAAAATATACCTTCCAGGGCCAGGGATTTAGCTCAGTGGTGCCGCGCCTGGCTCGCAAGCACAAGGTCCTGGGTTGGATCCCTGGTACTGATGAAAAAAACAAAAACAAAATGCAAAATAAAATATACCTTACTGAAAAAGGATTCCACAGAAGTTCGAGTGCAGGGCTGTACCTTGATCCTCAAATGCCTGTCATTCACTGGTCCAGAAAGAGCCACACCCCACGGTCCTCCCAAAGCAGAGCAAAAGCAGATCCAGGTCACAGAGCTGTTGATGTTGAAGGAGCTGGTTGTTTCTGCTGTGGACACATGCGAGTCTAGATCATCATATAAAATTCCCTGCATCAGGTTTTTCATTGTGAAGGATGGGGGTCAAAGGACAGTACACCCCTTACAATCCGCTCCTAATGTGGCCTCGTTTCCTCAATCTTGGTTGCTGTTTCCTCCGTCTAATTCACCCATGCAAGGAGCTCACTGTTGCCCTTACATAATGAATATCTTGCCGGTCTGTACTTCCTCCACTCCGGATTCTTACACACCATGAGCCTACTTCATCTCTAGCCATGTCACTATCCCAGCACTGAGCAAATGCTTGTAGAAGGAATGAATGAATGTAAAGGGGAAAAATGAATTGTTTCACACTCACGTGTGCATTAAGACACTTCAGCGAGTGTCTTAATGTTCATAGATACTGGCCCAATCATTCCTCCCCTTCCTTTCTCATTTTCTTCCTTTCTTATCCTACCTTCTTCTTCCTTTGCATGCCACTGAGTGCCTTACAAGGCAGGACACAGAGACATTGGCATGCTGGTAGAAACAGATACCGTGGAGAGCAGCCAGATGAAATGAGGGCAAAACCAGCGGTACTGCATGCAGAGACCCGCTGGAATGAAAAGCAGTGATTCACGGAGAACTGCAATTCAGACACTCTTTGAGTTTCACTTTGAGAGCTGCTGCAGGATTGGGGTCAGTTGGGGCTGTGGGGGAGGGTGAACACCAAGGTAAAGGGCAGCCAGGCTTCTCCCTGGAGATTTGTTGCCAGTCAATCCCTCCTTTTAATTCTCCCTTCCCTCCACCCTGACTACACTCTCAAGGATCAGTGTCCTGGGCCTTTAAGAGCTGGATGGGCTGGACTAAAGAAAGTGCTTACACCTCTCCCCACGGCACTCCTTCCCTCTGGCTGTATGTAACCCTGCCAGTAATAGCAGCAAACTGCAGTAGAAGAGGGGAGGAATCAAGCAAGGAGAAACCGAACCAGGCTGGGCTTCCTCAGCCACAGTGGAGAGCATCGAAGAAGCACAGCTCACAGACACAGGACTGCTATCCTGCCCACCACGGTAAGGGTCAAGAGGCTCTGGCCAGCCTACACTCGGCTTGCTGGCTTGCTCCGACTTCCCCAGTCCCTGACTCTGCCCTCTAGGCATTTAGCTACCCTGATTAGACTGTATCCTCCTGTCCTCTCCTCATCCAAACAGCTCAACAAGACTCTTCCTCCTGCTTCCCTCCTGCTCCTCCTCTATTAGTTTTTCTCCTGTCGGTGTCAATCACTCATTGTTTGGTTGGCTGATTGGGTTTCGTGGTGGTTGTTGGGTTTTGTTTTGTTTTGGTTTTTGTCCTGGGAATGGAACCCAGGGGCTTTGAACTGAGCCATACTCCCAGCCCTTTCAATTAATTAATTAATTGATTAATTACTTTTTTTAGATAGGGTCTTGCTAAGTCTCTAAGTTGCCCAGGCTGGGCTTGAACTTATGATCTTCCTGCCTCAGCCTCCCAAGTGCTAGGATGAGATGAAAGTTGTACATCACCACACCTGATTTCAGTCACCCCTTTATAAAAAGAAACTTCTTAGCTGTCCAGGGGCAGGAGTACTGACCCCAGCCTCTCCTCAGAGGTAAGCCTGCACCAATAAGTGAAGAGAAAGAATTGGAGTAGACAGACTTTAGCATACATTCATTAACAGATTGTTGAGGTTTACCTAATGAGGATTGGCTAAGACTTTTGGAGTCAGGAATTCCCAGTAATGGGAAAGTTATGAGACTTCTTTGAAGCCAGAGTTTGTGTCCTATACCTTGTTCTGCTTAATGATCCAGGGCAGTTTCTTGGTGCACCAAGTGCTGTGCTGTAGGACTTTAGATTACAACTTCCTATTCTGTAATAACAGATTTAAGGGTTTCCCAGACTCACCTGTACCAGGTGTGCTAGTTAAATATTCTTGAGCCCTATACTTGGAATTTTTGATTTGCTATATTGTATGGTGACGTTTAGGAAGCTCTGTTTTAAGGTACTCTTCAAGAAATACTGACTTAGCCATCAACCTCTACATTATATATGTTGTAAAAGAGCCTTCAAGCTCTAACATTCTGAGGGCTATCACTGTGACCAGAGCCATTCTGTCCCTTTACACAAATAGGTTAATCATAATCCTCCCCAGCAGCAAGGGAGTAAACAAAATGATTTTCTTCCTTCCTGTTCCTCAGAGACAAATGAGACCTTGTAATGCCATTGGTATCAATGGTGACATTGCCAAAGTCCAATTCCAGATGACACAAAGCCACTTAGAAGTTAAGGGACAGATCTTGCTCTACAGCCCCAGGCTTCCTATCCATGTGTCTTATTTCCACATCTGTATTACAGAGATAATTATATCCTGAAGGTATGTCCATAAATGAACATTTAAGACCCAAACTCTCTTATTCAGTTTTCATCCTCTGTGCCCGTGCCAATGCCCTGATTCCCAAATTCCCCGATACCCAATTCCCCTTCTCTCCCACTGTACCTGCATCAGTTGTGACTATACTTACTTTCAGACAGCAGAAGAAACACCAAGACCTAGAACACTTGAGTTCTAACTTGCATTCTCTGGGCACTTTGTTTAGTCAGTCTCCTAGGATACAGGGAAAAGAAAGAGGCTGTGTAGAGAGGGACATGCTACTGATTGTCCAAACCCAAGTGACTTCCCGCCTGGACCACAGTCTCAAAATCCTCAGTGAGGATGGAAATGAGAGATATTGGGAATTAATGAAGACCAAGGAGGGAAGTGAATGGAAGAGATAATGGAGAGAAGGGATGCGAAGAGGAGAATAAAAAGGAGGACCTAAGTAAGCAAAGAGGAAAACAGAAAGGACTGGGAAGGAAGGAAAAAGATGGAATCAAAGTGGGATGGGGAAAGGAAATAAAATGGGAAGAAAGAAAAGCAATTTGGTAGGCTAGAGGAGGAACAGAAATGATGAAGAGAAACAAAATGTCAGCGTTCCTGATGGATTCCTAGCCTGCCTTTAACCTGTTTCCTAGAGAAGGCTGCTTCTGAGGCAAGAGTCTTGGCACACTCTTCTAGATCTCCTAGATGATTGTATAGAGCTCTGGGTTCCAGTTCCAATTTTAAACTCAGTAAGTGACTCTGGCAGGTCAGCTAATCTTTCTAGTCCTCAATCCCCTTCTCTATAAAATGAAGTCCAGCTTTGTCATTATGTATCTCCCTGTGTTGACTCAAGCTGGCACTCTTGTGGCCACATGTTACCTGGATACATGTTTAAAATAGTGATTCAGGAATTCAATAAAAATTAGATTTTTAAAAGACCAAGCCCCAGGGTGGAAGAGTCTGACAAAGGAGGGAAAAATCATTTTGTTAAGGGTGGTAGTCTCTGCCAGGTGTGGTGCACACACCCATAATCTCAGCATTTGGGAGGCTGAGGCAGGAGGATTGCTGCAAATTTCAGGCCAGTTTGTGCTACTTAGTGAGTTCAAGAGCAGCCTGAATTGCATAGTGAGAACATGTCTAAAAAAAAAAAAAAAAATCCAAACAAAGAGTTAGTAGTCTCCAAAATAAGGATGTCCAGGCACTTGGGCTCTGTTCTCAAGTCTCCTGTGTGTCAGAATGTCATTGTGAGTCTCCTGGACATGGGTAGAAGGGACAGTAATTCTGCTCCCAAGCCCAAGGCCCACCCCAGGGTCCCTGTGCCCCAGAGGTGAGACCTGAAATTCAGAGAGTAGAAAAGGCAAAATGCTGGCTTGGGAGATTAAACATTAGTCCCAGGCCAACCTCGCTCCACTAACAGTCTGAAGACCCAAGGAATCTGAGCCATGTTACTTTCTAATTCTTCTTTTGTGTAGCTTCTGTAAGACTCATATTTTAAACTCACATCCCCACCAAGAAAAGGAACTGCTGTTCTGTCACTCAGGCAGCACTTTTGGTCCCTTCATCCATGCAGAGATTTCTTCGGGTTTTACCCAGGCACACATATCAGCCTCAGCCAACAAAATCTTTTCTCCCTGGAACTGTCTGTCACAGGTTGTTTTTCTCCCAAAGGCTGTTTCCCAACCTCCCCCCTCTCACTCTGTTATACCTTTAGAAAGCTTTCCCTAGGTCCTGGAGTCAGGAAATCTTTTTTTTTTCCAGTGACCCCCACATTCTGCCTGAGGATTTAGTCTCTCCTGAATGACTTTATACCATCTTTAGAGAGATAGGACTCTAATATGCCCTATCTCAAACAAATCACATCACATTTCCAGACTTACACACTTTTATGTTTTAAGAGATAGAGTGAACTATGTGACGTTTTCATGGAACACTAATTGAATGATTGCTTTCTAGATTTTCAAAACTTTTTATGATGTTCTCCACTATCAAATTTTAAATTTTTAAGATTTTTTTTGGGGGGTACCAGGGATCAAACTCAGGTCCTTGCACCTGCAAGGCAGGCGGCTGAATCACTGAGCTAAATCCCCAGCCCTAAACTTTAAACTTTTTAATTAAATATAGCATATTTCTATTCAAGTGTGGGTCCTTTGCTTATGCAAACGTATACAGTTTTATATCTTACGAGCTTTGTTAGTCTCAGCACAGTGTGGTCAAAAGGTCCATTAATTAGGCAAAACTAGAATCAAAGTGGCCATCGGGGCCAGGGATTTAGCTCAGCAGTTCGGTGGCCTGCCTCGCAAGTGCAAGGACCCGAGTTCGATCCCCGGTACCAAAAAAAACAAACAACAAAACAAAACAAAGTGGCCATGTATTAAATCTTCTATCTCTTTTTCAGAAAAGTTTATTGTTAAAGGATAGGACAGCTTAGCCAGGTCCTACATTAGACAGTGTGTATTTTAAAGGAGGTACCCTTTTTTAGTAGGCAAACTTGTAAATGCAGTTCTGAGATTTATGTAACTTTTTTTTCCTGGTACTCTGGGCTTCTGCACTGAGCTACATTATTTTAAAATAGGATCTTATGGGCCAGGGATTTAGGTCAGTGGTGCTGCCACCTGCCTCACAGGCACAAGGTCCAGAGTTTGACCCCCAGTACCAAAAAAAAAGGATCTTACTAAATTGCCCAGATAGGGCTCAAACTTGTGATTCTCCTGTCTCAATCTTTCAGAGTGCTAGGATTACAGATGTGCACCATGATGCCCAGCTTTGTAGAACTTTTTTTGTCCATTAAAAACTGTAAAAATAAATCAGTTGCGGTAACATACCCCTGTCATTCCAGCACTCTGGGAGACTAAGAAAGGAAGATTGCAAGTTAGCAAGATCCTGTCTCAAAAAAATAAAAAGGGGTTGGGAATGCAGCTCAGTGCAAAGGTGTTGGGTCCAATTCCCCAGCACCACCCAAAGAAACAAATCTGTGAGAATAACTGTTATGAAAAACAATAAAGGCTTGGGATCTGGCTCAGTGACAAGTACTTGCTCAGCATGCATGAAGCCCTGGGTTTTATTCTTAGCACCACAAAAAAGGAGGAGGAAGAAGAGAAGAAAAAGAAATATAAAATATTTGTCATATAAATGTAGAAGAATATAATTCAGTGTCGTAGAAGAGACTCAAACAGTCAGGCTTCCCTATTGCTTCAGGAGCTGGACAATCCACATGGGTGCATGGACAAGGGTCCCAGAAGAGGGAAGCTGGGATGATTCCACCTGGAGAAGAGAAAGCTAAGGTGTGGAGAGATTCCAGGTTTTAAAAAGGGCTGACCAGCAAAATGGTGGTTCCCAATAAATAGATGAGGAGTGAACTTGGTGTGGAAAGAGGTTACCTAATGGGTTGTAGAGTTTTGGGTAGAAAAAGGGAATTTGGCAGATGCCCTGATTTAGCCCTCTCTGGTTAGCCATGGCAAATGGCAAAGGCTGTGGGATCAGACATATCTGGGTTTAAATTCTAATCCTTATGTCATTTGAGGCAAGTCTCTTAGCCTCTCTAAACCTCAGAATACAAACTCAAATTAGAAGTAAAAATAGATACAGACTATATAGACTAAGAAAACTCTGACCTCTTTCTCTTGTTCCCTAGATCTCCAAGATTCATGCAAGCTCTTTGCTCCTCCTTGTTCCTTTAGGTGTCTCTGGCACCAGCTAGTGGAGCAGTGGATGATGGCATCCCTGTTACAAGACCGTGAGTACCCTTGCAGAGAAAGAAGGGTTGGGGACAACCCAGGAGAGGGAAGGGGGCTGGATCTGTATTCCACAGCTCCTTCCGGGCCCTCTTCCCTACGTGCTAGCCCCTACTCCCTGCTTGTCCTGGCGCAGGGCTGACCACTGATCAGGACCTGCTGATGATGCAAGAAGGTGTGCTAATGCGCAAGGTGAGGTCCAGAAGCTGGAAGAAGCTAAGATACTTCAGACTTCAGAACGACGGCATGACAGTCTGGCATGCACGGCAGTCCGGGGGCAGGGAGAAGCCCAGCTGTGAGTGACCTGGCTAGCTGGGGTGGGCATGTGGGTGGATTGGTCCCCACGAGCCTGGCAGCCTGAGAGCAGGGGAAGAACCAGGGTCCCACTGATCTCATGCCCTTGTGCTGTCCCACTTGTGGCTGTTCTGAGCCTTTGAAGATCATAACCAGTACTTGCCTTTGTAAGGCTATTGTGAAGATTAAATGAATTTTTCCTGGGCCGGGGATTTAGCGCAGTGGCACCATGCCTGCCTCGCAAGCTCAAGGTACTGAATTTGACCCCCAGTACTGCAAAAAAAAAAAGTCTATATAAAGGACTTAGATGAGTACTGGCACATAGTAAGTCTCAAGTCATAGAAAAAAATATATGTGTGTATATTTGTGTGTATGTGTATGTGTGTGTGTGTGTTACTGGTATGTGAACCCGGGGCCTTCACATTATATACTGTGCTTCATCTCCAGCTCTTTTTGTTTGTTGGAGTTTTTGTTTTTATTTTTTGAGAGAGGGTCTTGCTATGTAGTTCAGGCTGTTCTCCAACTCACAATGATGCTCCTGCCTCAGTCTCCTGAGTGCTGGGATTATAGGCATGTGCCAACATGCTCAACAGCCAACTCTTTTATCTAAAAAAAAAAAAAAAAAAAAAAAAGTGTTTTTGGAGACAGGATCTCACTGAATCACCCAGACTGGGCTCAAGCTTGTGATCCTCCTCAGGCTCCCACAGTGCTGGGATTACAGGCATTCACCACAATTCCTGGTTCATTCGTTATACTTTCTTCTTATTGTTGTTATCATACAACCATAACCAAATTAACAAACAAAAAACAAAGCAAAAAAGACCATGATCTCAGACATAAATCTGCCTGGATTAAAGCTCTGGCTCTGCCACTTTCTAGCTCTAGGATCAGAACAAACAGTACCCGCCTAGTAGATTACAGAGATTCATTGAAGTAATGCACCTAAAACTGTATCTGATTAATCAATGTTACTCATTATATTTTTATATTTAAAAATATATCAGAACAGTGTGGATTCTGTTGGCCAAACTATGATTCCTCTAAAAATCTGATAGCCAGGTGTGTGTGTGTGGTGGCAAGTGCCTGTAATTCCAGCCTTTGAGAGGCAAAGGCAGGAGGATTGCTATGAGTTCGAGTCCAAACTTGATTACATAGTGAGACCTTGTCTCCAAAATAAATAAATAAAAATAAATCTGATCTCAGAATACATCTTAGAGAGTCTGCTTTAAACATATATTCAAAGGTCAACCCATTCCCAGCTCAGGTAAGGGATAGAATTTCTCTGGCTCCCTCCTAAACCTCTGGAAGGAAGAAAACCTCAAACCTGAATTTGGGCATATAGTGCTTTGGTATAATTGCTTCTGCCATTCAAATGTGTTTCAATTTGTTATTCCTACCAGTTCTTTTGTGATCCCCTTTGAGACTAGCCCTGGAAAGGGACCATCCAGTATCTAAGATGAGGACACCGAGGGATTAAATTCTTTTGGTCTCTTGTTGCATTGCCAGTTGGTGGCTGGAAGCCACGTCTTAGCACTTCTAGCACAGGCCCCTGACATGCCAAAACAGCAATGACTCTGGACTTCTGAACCCCAGGAGTATAAATGCACTAATGCTTTTAGGACTCAGCCTGTAGAGCTTAGGGTTCCATCTCTCTATGTCTTCATAGAGAAGGGGTGCTGATCCTTGCCTCTTAACCTCTGCAGTTTGTTGGATTCCCTTTAATGTTTTCAACTGCTTCTTCTCTGACAGTCTCAATCTCTGATGTGGAGACAGTGCGGAAGGGCCATGATTCCGAATTGCTGCGTGGTCTGGCAGAGGAGTTCCCACTGGAGCAGGGCTTCACTGTTGTCTTCCATGGCCGTCGCTCCAACCTGGACCTGGTGGCCAACAGTGTTGAGGAGGCCCAAACCTGGACGCAAGGACTCCAGCTGTTGGTGGACCTTGTCACAAGCATGGACCAACAGGAGCGGCTGGACCAGTATCAACAAGTTGGAGCCAGGGTGGGGACTGGGTAATTTAAGGAGCCAGATGCTGCAGCACTAGGGAAGATGGAAAGGGGTGCTGGGATAGGGAAGCCCAGAGGTCCGGAAGCTGTGGGCAGAGGCACCTCAGGCTGATGTGTGACTAAGGATTCTGAGAAAGAAATGGATGCTAGGGAGGGAAAACACATAGCCAGGCAGAGTTTGAGCATGAATCAGGATCCCCAGGATTAAGAGATGTAAAGGGAGAGGCACAGGAGCAAACACACGGCTGCTCCCAAGAGCGGAACAAAAGATGCTGATGGTATTAACTGCCACAGAGATAGGAAGCCACTCCTTAGAGGGCCCTGTGTACAGTACTTCAGGATTCCTGGATTGTGTGTTGATTCATTCATTCATTCATTGTCACCAACAAAGCAGGATGTACCAAGCTATGTGCCAAGTTTAGGGTACAAAGATTAATGAGACACAGGTACTGTTTTAGTTAATGGACAGGATAGAATTGTGTGATTTAAGTACCAAAAGTGCCTTATGATACTTAGATTATGTGTACGTATTCAAAGGAAGAAAGGTAATTCATAAAGTGTTCTGAGAAAGCTTTAGAGAAGAAATGATGTGTGAGCTGGCCTTAAGAACAAATAGCATTTGCATATGAAGAGAGGAAGAGTAAAGTCCAGAGATAGGAGACTGGACAGAAGGAGGGAATGGGACATCAGAAAGCAAAGACATTAGAAACAAGAATTCTGGGTTGCACCAGATCACAGGGGTGAAGAAAACCTTAACTTGTATGTTCAGGAAATGGGGTGTCTTTCTACAAACAAGAGAAGGTACCAGCATGTGCCTGGGCCATGATTAGTGCTTGGGAGAGATTATCCTAGAAGCTCTGTGGAGAATGGATTGACATGGGAGAGAGACTAGATTAGGAGGGGAGAGATATGAATGGATGAAGCACACACACACACACACACACACACATTGTGCTTTTGCCTTAACTCAAAGCCGGGTGGCTGAGTGACTGGTTCCAGCGTGGAGACAAAAACCAGGATGGTCGAATGAGTTTTGAAGAAATTCAGCGCCTGCTGCACCTAATGAATGTGGAGATGGACCAAGAATATGCCTTTAGTCTTTTCCAGGTGAGTCTACCAGGGAAGACAGACCACATTTTCATGTGGCCAGAAGCATTTGACTTCTATCAGGAACATTCATTTGTTGAAGCCCTGCTGTGTCTACTAGCACCATGAGAGGCAAAATAGGAAGTGTGGGGAATGACTCTTGCCATTCAGTCTTATTAGAAAGATGAATCATAAATCTATAGAAGAAAAATAGCAATATGTTGTTATGTTGGACCTCCAGGACCTTTTTGTTCCCGGCCAGAACTTTGAAGGTGCATAGTACAAAACCCCACTGGAGTATGAATAAATAGGAGGAAGTATCTTCTGACCTTTTAGGGACCTTTATGAGATGTAAAATTTTCTTTAGCAGCAAATGAGAGGGCAGAAACTTTGCTTTTGAAGCCACTAAAGTGGCTTCATCTATTAACATGAAATGTCAAGAGTTTTGTGGGGGGGTATTGATGCATGTTTGAATCTGCCAACAAGATCACTCTTACAAGGCAAGTGAAAGTCATAAAATTTCCTGTTAAAGAGTCTCTCTGCTCTCCCCTGACCTCTTGTAGACAGCAGACATCTCTCAGTCTGGGACTCTGGAAGGAGAAGAATTTGTACAGTTCTATAAGGCATTGACTAAGCGTAACGAAGTACAGGAACTGTTTGAAAACTTTTCAGCCGATGGGCAGAAGTTGACCCTCCTGGAATTTGTGGATTTCCTTCAGGAAGAGCAGAAAGAAAAAGATTATGCTCCTGACCTTGCTCTGGAACTCATCAACCGCTATGAGCCTTCAGACAGTGGTAAGGGAAACTGGGTGGAGAGACACCACAGTGGGGGACAAGGTGGGGGCCATAATTGAAAAGATCCAGAGAAAAGCAATCTTCTGCCTAACCTCTACCTGGTGGATGCTGAATCTATCCCTGTCCTGGCCTCCTGCACATCATCTTATTTAGCCTCTCCTCCAGAAGGAGAGCAGCCATTTTCTGCCTAGACAAGACAAGGGTCTAGAGGACCCCACCAGTCCTCTTTCCTTCATTATAGCACTGTTTCATATCCTTTACTTTTGGGATGTTTTCCTGCTCTCAGCTTTGTCTTGAATGAAAACAGAAGACCTATGGTCTTCTTTAGTGGAAATGATTCCTTTTCCTCTGGTTCTCCTTCATGGTTCCTTTTTGCTGTCTCTTAAAATGCTGGCTTTCTGCCTTTTCTGGGAGTTTTCCAAATTCTCCAAGTAGTTCTTGAGTCTCTGAGCCCCTGAACCAGAAATCTCCTCACTGCTGGACTGAGCAGATGATGAAGCCAATTAATTAGCATTTAACAAGAACAGCAAAAATATGTCTTTTCAGTCCTGGTATTTTCTTCCACTCTGTCTCTTTTGTACACTTCTTTCCATTCTTCTCTTCCTTCCAGAGTATGAGAAAATTTACATTAATAGTAAATTACTTATTACACATTCACATTCTTTGCTTAATTTTGTTCTCACTATAATTTTGTAAGTCAACAGTTATGATCTTTTTTGTATGTTTAACCAACAACATTTTAATATCTTAAGAAAATGTTACTACTTTTTGACATAGACAACTCTTTAATCAGGGGCCGGGGATTTAGCTCAGTGGTTCTGCCACCTACCTGGCAAATGTAAGGTCCCGAGTCCGATCCCCGGTAATTTAACCTTTTAATTACACTAATTTTAATTATGTAATATCCAGGTGGCTGTTTTCTCAGCTAGAGTGAGTTTTATTGGGTAGTTCCAAAGGTCTAAGGGCCCCTCCAGGGAAATCCTCTTTTTTTTCTTCTTTCTTCTTTTTTTTTTTTTTTTGCAGTACCAGGAATCAAGTCCAAGGTCTTGCACATGCTAGGCTAGTGCTCTACCACTGAGCTACAGCCCCAGCCCCTCTTTTTGTGATAGGCTTATACATTAGAATTTAACTCTTAGCTGATTTATAAAGAAAGCAATCTCAAATGTTTAAATATTAACAACTTGTGAAAACATTTAATAGAGCCAAATATTTTATTTTTTTTAATTTAAGGAAATAAAACTTGAATTCAGTAACTGATGACTCAAATGAACAGCAGTAATCTTTATTGAGCATTAGTATCTCTATATGTTTTTTCTCTTCAAATCCTTCCAGTGACCTGTTAAAATGGGTTCTCTTCGCCAGGTGTGGTGGCCCATATCTGTAATCCCAGCATTTGGGAGGCTGAGGCAGAAGGATCATAGCAAATTTGAGGCCAGCTTGGGCTTCATAGTGAGTTCAAGGCCAGCCTGAGTTACATAGTGAGATCTTATCTCAAAGGAACACTCCCCCCGAAAAAAAAAAAAAAAAGGATTCTCTTATTCAGTTGTATAAAACAGAAAAATTGAGCTTGGGAAAGATTAAAGGACTTGTCCAAAGGCAATAACTAACAAGGAAGGAATTGGAATTCAAACCCAAGATGAAGATAAAATGGGATGATTGAGAGCTGAGCAAGTGACCCACGTTTCCTGAGTCTCAACTCCTACTCCATTTTATTCATTCATTCATTCATTCATTACTTCAGCTAATACTCATTGAGTACCTACAATAGGTCATCTGGTCATCTCTTCTGAGCACCACAGATACAGTAGCACCTAAGTCAGACAAGGGCACTGCCTTTGTGGAATTTAGAGTCAGACAGGAAGTGTTAATGGCTGTGGATATAGCTTTGAGGTAGAACACTTGTGTAGCATCCACAAAGCCTTGGGTTTGATTTTGTGAGGGTGTTAAAAGAAGAATAGAGGCTCTAAAGCAATTATTTCAGAAAATTAAATTGAAGAAGAATTTCAGAGTTACGAACTGCTGTTTCCAGTGCAGAATCCAGCATACATCAATTACATTTGGCATGGGTTGAATATGACCCCAACTGCATATGTTGGGAGTTTAATCTCCAACACAAAGTGTTGACAGTTCTTTTTTTTTTTTTTTTTTTGAGATAGGGTCTCACTGTGCATATAGTTCAAGCTGTCCTTGAACTCACTATGTAGTTCAGGCTGGCCCCCTGCCTCAGTCTCCCAAGTGCTGGGATTTCAGGGACGTGCCATTACGCCCAGATCCAACATAAAATAGTTGAGAAGTGGGACTCTAAGAGTTGAGTAAGTCTGGAGGGCTTTGCTATTATGGGAATTATCAAGGTAGTGAGTTCCTACTAAAAGGATACATTAGATGCCTTCCTCCCTCTTGCTCTCCCAAGTGTTCTGTTTCCCTTCCATCTTCTGCCATGGGATGACAGAGCAAGATCCTCACCAGAAGCAGGCCCCTCAACTTTGGACTTCCAGAACTGTAAGAAATCTGTGGGTATTTTGGGGGTTTTTTTGGTACTGGGGATTGAACTCGGGACCTTGTGCTTGTGAGGCAGGTGGCAGAATCACTGAGCTAAATCCCTGGCCCCAAGAAATCTGTTTTTAATAAATTCAATGTCTAGTCTGTAAAACAGACTGAAACAAGATTTATTCTACACCTCCCATGGTGATCCTTCCCCTTGCACTTGAGAATCAGACAGTAGACTTTGGTTCAGAGTGTAATATCAGTCAGAAGACCTGTCCTAGCCAGGTGTGGTGGCAGACAACTGTAACCCCAGCTCTTTGGAGGCTGAGGCAAGAGAATCACAGCAAGTTCAAGACCAGCCTGGACTACATAGTGAATTCAAAGCCAGCTTGAACTACATAGCATGACCCTGTCTCAAAACAACAAAACCACAAAACAAAAACAAAAACCAAAAAACTGTCCTTGAGTCCTCATCCTGTTTCTTATTAACTGAGTAACCTTGGACAAGTCATTTAGCCTGAAACTCAATTTTCTCATTTGTAAAATAACTAGTGATCAAAGGAAATGATGCACATGGAAAGTACCTATCAACTATGGATTTACTTCAGTAGTTTGAGTTATCACTGGCAAGAATGAAATTTCTTGCCCATGTGCTGTCTTTCTCCACCATTTCTAGGTCTTGTCAAACTTGGAATAAGAAAGCTGGGCATGAGGGTTAAGGTGTTTTATCTTCCAAAGAAGAATGCCTTCACAGCTCAGTGGTCTAGAACATGGCTGATACCTGCTAGCCTGTTCTATCCCAGCTCTTCCATTTACTATTTATGTAAACTGGGGCAAATTATCAACTTCTCATAACAAACTGTGTTAGTGAGAGTATTAAGTGACCTGTTGTAGATAGTGTCCTTGACATAGAGCAGGTTCTTAGTTACTGTTAGTCATTGTTATTAGTATATGAAATCAACCATAAGAAGCATGAGGACTATAGAAAGTGTATTAGTCATTTTCCTGTCACTAGTACACAATACCCAACACCTGCAACTTAAAGGAAGAGAGATTTATTTGGCTCATGGTTTGCCATGGCTTGGATCCGTGATTGACTGGCTCCATGGCAGAAATTGTATGGTGGAAGGGCATAGTGGAGGAAAGATACTCAACCCATGGCAGCCAAGAAGCAGAGAGAGAGAGAGGAGAAGAGCCAGGGGTGAGAATATACTTTTCTAGGCCATGCTTCCAGTGAATCTCCTTTTCCAATCAGACCCCACCTAACAGCACATTCATCTGTGAGCTCATCAGTATCTCCATGACCAAAAAACCTCAGAAGTTCTACTGCTGAATATGTGAGACTTCTGGGACCAGTTTAGGTTCAAAACATAAAAGAAGGGGTAACAGTCCCTTTCTTCAACAAGAGTGAAGTCTAAGGTGATGCTGACAAATGCTCCCCCAAACACCACACGGTATGAGCTCACGATTGAGCTCAGTGGCACCATGACTGCCTCTCAAGCACAAGGTCCTGAGTTCAATCCCCGTTGCAAAACAAAAAACACCACCACATGGGAGCATTGATGGTAGGAAGAAATCTTTAAAACATAGATCACACAGCTGTACAGGCCAAGAAAGAAAACAGATATCTTGGTCATATTACTAATGAGTTTCTAAGGGCCAGGGAATAAATAGCTCAGTGGTTCCGCAGCCTGCCTCCCAAATGCAAGGTCCTGAGTTCAGTCTCTGGTACCAAAAAACAAGCAAACAAAACCTAATGAGAAAAACAAAAAAACCCTAATGAGTCTCTGAATTTGAATCTCTCTAACGTCAGTTTCCCATCTATAAGATTAGTCCTTTGTACTGGATACTGTCTTGTTCTCTGGGGCTGGGGATTTAGCTCAGTGGCACCATGCCTGCCTTGCAAGCACAAAGTCCTGAGTTTGATCCCCAGTACCACACAAACAAATAAACAAATGAAAGCACTACGATAAATCTGGTCTTCATGTGACTGTTTAAAATTTAAATTAACTAAACTAAACTCAAGTGGCACTTAAAATGCAGTCCCTCAATCACACCAGTCACATTTCAAGTGCTTGTGGCCACAAGTGGTTAGAGACTGCCATATTTAACACTGCAGAATAGAACATTTCTTTTTTCTTTTCTTTGTTTGTTTGTTTGTTTTTTGTTTTTTGCTTTTTTGGTACTGGGGATCAAACTCAGGACCTTGTGCTTGTGAGGCAGGCAGCAGAACCACCTGAGCTAAATCCCCAGCCCATAATAGGACATTTCTATCATTGTACAACATTCTATTGGACAGCTCTGGACTAGAATCAGCCTATTGGTTCCCTTTGACAGTCTCCAGTGGTAGAATGGTGGAAATGACAGGCACTGGTGGGGAATACTTAGGATCTAGAGTCTGAGAATGGGACCATCTGAAAGGTAGGACTCCAGAGGGCGTGGGGTGGATGGTGGGCTATGGGTGCACTGGGTTCCCCACACTCGGAGCGTCTCACTCCAGTGCTCCCCACTCCACACCCTAGGCAAACTGCGGCATGTGCTGAGCATGGATGGCTTCCTCAGCTACCTCTGCTCAAAGGATGGAGACATCTTCAACCCGGCCTGCCTCCCCATCTACCAGGATATGACTCAGCCACTGAGTCACTACTTCATTAACTCCTCTCACAACACCTACCTAGTGGGGGACCAGCTGTGTGGCCAGAGCAGCGTCGAGGGATATATACGGTGCAGTGGGGTAGAAAAGAGGTCCAGCTCATGAGAGGGACTAAATGTGGGGAAATGAAGGGAGGCTATCAGTGGATAACAGGGGTTGATGATGTATTGGATAGGGGGTCAGGGGCTGAGCCTGCATACCTGAGATACTTGGAGAAGATACTGAAGACTGGTGGGAGAATAGTGATGACATGGGTAAAGAAATGGAACTTCCCTTTCACAAACTGAATCTCTCAGAACTCAGAGGCGTTCACAGATTTATTTTGAATAAATAAACCGCATGTTAAAGGGAAGGCAGAACAGAGGATTAGAAAACATGGGTTCTAGAGTCCGACTACCTGGGGTCAAATCCTAGCTCCCTTAGTAGTACTCTGGAGCTAAGCAATGGACTTCTCCATACCTTGTTCCCTGTCTATGAGATGAGGATGATAACAGTGCCCTCCCTCTCAGGGTTGTTGTGAACACTGAATGAGTTAGTCCATGTGTCAGTAGCTAATCCATGGAAGGTGCTTTTATTGTGATTAATTATGGATTAGCTTGAATAATCAAGAGATCTTTGTTAAGTGCTAGAAAATGAACTAGTAGCTTTACAGGATACAAAAATTAGTGGAGCTTGTGCTAAAAAATAAGTGAACTTCCAAGTTTCCACTTTAGAAAGTCTAGTTGAGAAAACAAGGGAGTGGGAGTGTAGCTCAGTGGTAGACTGCATCCTTAGCATATGTGAGGCCCTGGGTTCAGTCCCCATTGTTGGGGGAGGAAAGAGATAGAGAGAGAGAGAGAGAGAGAGAGAGAGAGAGAGAGAGAAGCATACACTTACCAAGAGTTTGACCTCACAGGTTTAAATAGGAATATATACAACCAGAACACCAGAAGTATCATGAGGCAGTAAGTGATGCTTCCCTAGAAGGATTGTGAGTTGGGTAGGGTAGGGGTGGAGATCAGTGTGAACTGCAGCCAGATCTCAGTAGACAGAGAAGTCTCCATGGAGATACAGCTTGCAGGGGTTTGGATGGGTAAGTGCTGGTGAGCATTGTTCTATCCAGAGTACAGAGAGGGTCCTTAGGTGGGAAATCATACCTTGACTTCCCCTGCTTCTGGGCTCTTGGTGTTCTTACAGGGCCCTGAAGCGGGGGTGCCGTTGTGTGGAGGTGGATGTTTGGGATGGACCTAGTGGGGAACCTGTCGTTTACCATGGACACACACTGACCTCTCGCATCCTGTTCAAAGATGTTGTGGCCACAGTTGCACAGTATGCCTTCCAGGTAGTAGCCCCAGGTTGGGAATAGCACGGAGTGAGGAAAGAGGGCCTGGGGGAAAATGACTGGCTCGGGTCTGGGGGGTAAAGGGGTGCAGGAAAGGTTGCTGCTGCAAGTAGCATGATATATTTGATTTAAAGCATCAGACAACATTAAGGGGTTGCATGAATAAGGGTTGGGTGTGTTACTAGTTATCAGTAGTCTTTGAGGTAATTACTAATGGTTAGTAACTACTACTTGTAATAAGTTCTGTTAACTATCTGGGAGAGGGTGGATAAGGACACAAAAATAGTGGTAAGCAGGGCTGAGGGACAATAGGAATTTGGAGATGAATGTCTGAGGGTGTAATGCAAACATGTAACTAGGTGAATAACCTGTTCCCTCCTACTCTGAGCCTGAAAACTCAAAAGTCTCAAAGGGACCTGGGTCAGACCTGGCATAGGTATAAAATTTGGGATCCCAAGAGTGATCTTTAGATGTGAGTAACCTACCAGGGCATGGACCTCAGCCCCCAAAGGTCTCACTGAGCCCTGTAGCAGGGTTGGAGGCCTTTAGCCCTCAGGGTATTCAAATGAGTTAATAGGGCTCCCTGGGAACCAAGTGTTTGGAGAAGGAGGTCATGGGGTTTAGAACAGTGGATACAAGCGCCCCCTTCTCCCTCACCAGACATCAGACTACCCACTCGTCCTGTCCCTGGAGAACCACTGCAGCTGGGAGCAGCAACAGACTGTGGCACAACACCTGACGGAGATCCTGGGGGAGCAGCTGCTGAGTGAACCCTTGGATGGGCTGCTGCCCACGCAGCTGCCCTCGCCAGAGGTAGGGACCCAAGCTCTGCTGTAGGTTCTGCCTTCCCCCCCCCATGCCCCATCCTCCATGTCCCCTCTTGTTCTCTTTCTGTCCTCAGATGGGCCATCTTGTCTTTAATGTGCCTCGAGACACCTTTCATTTTGAAAGATCTCATTGAAGGCAGAATGCTATTTCGAGTTCTCAAAAGTTTTAGTCGACTATTCACTTTATATTTTACTTTCAATGGAAATATCTTAATTTTTTCATGAGAGTTTATAACTGCAGTAGGGTATAGACCATATAAACAATATAGAGACAAGGAAGTCCCACCTCCAGCATGATCACAGTCTGTTCCATAAAAATATCTATATCTATATATCTGTCTGTATCCCTATTTGTCTATCTTTCTAAAGCTATACCTATTTGATGCTGGGGTTAGAACCCAGGGCCTCACTCATGCTAACCACATGCTGTACCACTGAGCTACACCCTCAGCCAACATCAGTAAGTTTTTTTAAAGGCTTATATAAACACATGTGTATATATTCATGTTATTTGAGACAGAGTGACCTCAAACTTCTGGTGATCCTCCTGCCTCAGCTCCTGAGTGCTGGGATTGCAGGACTGTACCATCATGCCAGACTTTTATTCTCATTTTTATTCTGTTTTTTGAGATAGGATCTCACTAGGTAGTTCAGGCTGACCTTGAACTCACTAAATTGTCCAGGCTGGCCTCCAGCTTAGGACAGTCGTCCTGCTTCAGCCTCCTGAGTGCTGGGACTACAAGTATATGTCATTACTCCTGGCCTTATATTCACATATTCACATTTTTTAAAAGCCATGAGTGAAAAAAAAAAACAAAAAACAAAAAACGAAAAAGGAGGGGCTGGGGATTTAGCTCAGTGGTTTGGTGTCCTGTCTTGCAAGCGCAAGGACCCGAGTTCATTCCCCGGTACCAAAAAAAAAAAAAAAACCAAAAAACAAAAGCCACGAGTGGAATCATCTTCCATGAATATCTTACATGTAATATATATTATGGATGTCTTTTCATATATAAGTTTTACAGTATTCTTTTTTGTTTGTTTTGCTTTGTTTTGGTACTGGAGATCAAACTTGGGTCCTTGCGTTTTCAAGGCAGGTGGCGGAACCACTGAGCTAAATCCCCAGCCCTGTTTTGTTTCTTTTGAGATAGAGTCTCATTGTGAAGTCAGGCTGGCCTTAAACTTACTATGTAGCCCAGACTGGTCTTGAACTTGCTGAGTTCCTCCTGCCTCAGTCTCCCGAGTGCTGGGATTACAGGCGTACATCACCATGCTCAGCTGAGCTCTAAAGTATGCTATGTGTGTTATGGGCCATAGTTTATTCAACTGTTTGCACATTTGGTGAACATTTAGGTTGTTTGTAATTTTCAACTTGTATATATGGCTTTGTCCATTTAGTTTTTCTTTGAAACGGATTCCTAGACACAAAATGGGTTACTGGGTTAAAAGGTTTGTATCCTGACATATTTTTGTTATTGCTATACCAATTTGCCCTGAGGGGGGGAAAAAACAAATTATACTCCAATCAACAGAAGAGTGACCAGAAAAAACTCTTTGAGTGAGATGATTCATAATCATAATGGCAAACATTGAGAAAAAGGTTAGGTTTTCTTCTTTTGAACTATTTGTTATTACTTTCATTAGGGTTTATCATTTTTAATAATATTCAGTGACTTTTGCTTTTGTTTTTTGAGACAGGATCTTGCTATGTGGTCCAGACTAGCCTCAGACTAGTTGTGTAGCCCAAGCTGGCCTTGAACTTGCAAGCCTCTGCTTCAGCCTCCTGAATACTGGGATTATGAGTGAAATGCTGTGCCCAGCTGATGTTAACTATTAACAATATTAGGCTTTTCTGGGAAGAGGTACTGGGGATTGAACCCAGGGCCTTCACACTGAGCTATATCCCCAGCCCTTTTTTATTTTGAGAAAGGGTCTCTCTGTCACTACATTGCCCAGGTTGGGCTTGCATTTGTTATCTTCCTGCCTCAGCCTCCCAGAGTGCTGGGATTATGGGTGTGTACCACCATGCCAGCCTGGAAAATATTTTTTGCAGTCTATTTTTGCTTTTGTGTTTTTAGCATTTTTCATCTTATAGATGTTTTTAAGCCTTATGTAGTCAAATGTTCAGTCCTATTTTAGAATTGAGTTTCATATCACCTTTCTAAAGGCTATTTTCTTCTCATAGTCTTATGTTTATTTGTTCATTTATTTATTTTGAGACAGGGTCTTGCTATGTAGTGCAGGATGGCTTTGAACTTGTGGTGGTGATGCTCCAACCTCAGGCTCTCACGTGCTGGGATTACTGGTGTGCACTATCATGCCTGGCTTTTATGTTCTTTTTTTGTTTTGTTTTGTTTTGTTTTGAGACAGGGTCTCACTATGTAGTTGACACTGGCCTGGAACTCACTATGTAGCCCAGGCTGGTCTCAAACTCTCAGTGATCCTCCTGCCTCGGCTTCCTGGGTGCTGGGATTACTGGCATGCGCCACCAAGCCTGGCTCTTATGTTCTTTATATATGTAAATCTTTTTTCTTTTCTTTTCTTTCTTTTTTGGGAAGGGAGATCTTGAGACAGGGGTCTCACTATTCAGTTCAGACTGATCTTGACCTAACTATATAGGCTAGGCTGGCTTCAAACTTGCAGTGATCCTCCTGCCTCAGCCTCCCAAATGCTGGGATTATAAGTGTGTGCCACCATGCCCAGCTATATATATGTAAATCTTTAAAGGAGTTTTTAGTATGTCAAATGTGAGGTAGAGGCCTATTTTTCCACAAAGGTAGAGATTTAGACGTTTGCTTAACAATAAGGGAATTCCTATGTTATGTACCAAGCAACTGATCTCTTCCTTGGGGAACTTTTGACCACTCTCTTTCTTCCTCTGCCTTTGAGAGCAGTGGGATCTGAAAGGTCTCCAGAAGAGCCTCAGACAGGTAGGTAGGTCACTTCATTTTTGTCCTCTAGCAACTTCGACGGAAGATCCTGGTGAAGGGGAAGAAGTTAGAAACACTTGAGCTAGATGTTGAGGATGAGGATGAAGAGGAGCAAGAGTGTGACCTGGAGCAACAGCAGGAGTCAGAGCTGGAGCCTGAGCCTGAGCCACAGGAGCCGTTCCTTCAGAGTAAGGACAAAAAGAAGGTAGGCCAGGGGTTGGGGATTTAGCTCAGTGGTTCCACTGCCTGCCTTGCAAGCACAAGGTCCCAAGTTCAATCCCAGTACAAAAAAAAAAAAAAAAGCAATACAAGAAGGTAGGCCAGAAGCCATCTTCCTGCCATAGCATTTGGTCAGCATGCAGGACAAGCTGAACGCCAGTTTGTGACAAGACTAAAGCCAGGCAAGGTAGAGGGGCAAAGAGAAAAATGAACCTTCCTTCTAATAAAAGAGGCATAAAAATGCATGTGTGGCATCATCATCTACATTGCCATTTACAGATATATTGCAGTGGCTTTTCCACTTTTTTGGGCCATGAGATCTTTGTTTCTTTCACTTTCCTTCTTTCTCCATAACACAGTCTTGTATGAAAGCTCAGTAAACAAAGTAGGTAAATGCAGAATCGTTCTAATTGGAGCTCTCATTTGGCTCTCCTGGATCCCTCAGGTGACGCTGGACACATCTCCGTGTGTCTCTTTATAGGCTGGTTTGAAAACCACTGACTGTGTGTGTGTGTGTGACTGTTACATTGCCTGAAATAATCGCTGTGACCTCAACTATATTGGGCTTAGCTAGAGAAAGCTTCTTTCTTGGGAGAGGTAAAATTTGTTTGAGGAGGGGCCAGAAATAGCCAGAGATGAAAGGGAGAGAAGTCTGAAATGGGGAAACTGGACCACTGAGACGGCTGGGCCAGCATGGTCTGTCTCCTTATGGGGAAGGAGGAGGCTGAGGGAGAAGGGGTGCCACTGGTTGCACTTCTACAATCCATGTTTGAAGTCTGCGTTGTTGTTCTTGTTCACTTGGCTTGGCTCACTCAGCTGACTTCTAGCATACCCTGATCTCTCTGGTGCTGTGGTGTTTAACCTGCTACTATGTCCAGGGTTGGAAATGGGAATTCAGGAGATAAATCCACATATATTACTCTGGGATCTTCATAGCCTTCGAGATGTGAATTCTGTGACCATTTGTATACCTTGACATCTATCTGGATTTATGGACCTTTTGACCAAAGCTCACTATTCATTTGTTTTAAAAGAGAAGTAGGCCTGTAATCTCAGTACTCAGGAGGCTGAGGCAGGAGGATTACTGGAAGTTCAAGGCCAGCCTGGTTTACATAGTTATTTCAAGACTAGCCTGAACTATGTAGCAAGACCTTATCTTAAAAAAAAAAAAAAAAAAAAAAACCCCATCGAAACCCAGCAAACAACAACCAAAAATAAAAGAAAAAAGAAAAAGAAGTAGGGAGGAAGATACTACTCTATTTAAAAACATAAATACTTGTTATCCAAGATACAACATAGAGCAGACCCTCCAGGCGCAGAGGCTGACACCAGTCCCAGAACTATATGCAGAATGCCTTTATTCCCATTCCCACCCTCAGGTTGTGAAGTGCCCGCTGTTTTGTCCGCCTATCTGTTGTCAAATTATGACCCAGGGTCCTATTCCCGATCCTGGTGGGTTGCTTCTCTTGCCCATGCAGGTGAGGCAGGAGGGAGTATGCAGTGGGGAGGCAGCGGGCAGAGGCTCAGGTTGGATGGCTGTTGGCTTCTTCCCTCGCAGACTGCTGAGGATTCAATTCCATCTTTCTTCTACTTTCTCTCCACAGAAACTCAAGCCCATCTTGTGTCCAGCCCTCTCTGCCCTGGTTGTCTACCTGAAGTCTGTCCCATTCCACAGCTTCTCTCACTCAAAAGAGAACTACCACTTCTATGAGATATCATCCTTCTCTGAAAGCAAGGCCAGGAACCTTATCAAGGAGGCTGGTCAGGACCAAAATGGAAGGACAGGGAGGGAAGCGGGTTGGGTGGGCTCACACCTGACGGCCGGAAGGTAAGTTCTAAGAAAGAGGACAAGAGCCAGGGAGAAATGCAGAAGCTAAGAAACTCCTCAGAGCAGGCAAATGGAGAGTTGTGCATAATGGACACAAGGCAGCAGGGGGAGGAAATCTGGTGGGGAGATGGGCTGGAGTGGAGTAGAAGCACAGTGAAGCTTTTTGTAGCCAACCTCAGCTGTCAGGGAAGAGTGAATGAGTGGGCAGGATCTTGGGGTGGAGGAAGTGGAAGTCTCTGCCCCACTTCCATCTCTACCCCTACATCCTTCACAGGCAATGAGTTTGTGCAGCACAATACTTGGCAGTTAAGCCGTGTGTATCCCAGCGGGCTGAGGACAGACTCATCCAACTACAATCCCCAGGAGCTCTGGAATGTGGGCTGCCAGATGGGTGAGGCTGCAGGAATAGGGAGGGGTTTGGGGTGGAAGATAAGCTTTTTAATGGAAGTAGGGCCAGGGAATGCCTTAAAGAGTACTAGGGTGAGAAAGATTCTGTTTATAGAGATGGGCTGGAAGGCCCCAGTGTGAGTTTTCCTTTTGACCCCCAGTGGCTATGAATATGCAGACTGCAGGGCTCGAAATGGACATCTGTGATGGGCTGTTCCACCAGAATGGTGTCTGTGGCTATGTGCTGAAGCCAGATTTCCTGCGTGATGTCCAGAGTTCCTTCCACCCTGAAAGGCCCATCAGTCCTTATAAGGCTCAGATCCTATTAGTCCAGGTATGATGAGAACCTGGGGTGGCTGGGATAGAAATGGGGGAAGAGGTAGCTAGGCCTGACAAGAGTGTGACTGATGGAAAGTTCCTGAGAGGCAGGGTAGCCTAAATAACAGCAGACTGGAGCCAGCTGCCAAGCTTCACATCTACTTCCTAGCTATGTAACATTGGACAAATTCCTTAGCCTTTCTGTACTTGTGTTTACCTGCAAAATGGGGGTAATACTACTGCCTACTTCCCAGAGTTGTGAAGATTGAAGGAATTAAGATCAAATGTCTACAACTCCTGGCACATAGTAAGAGGCTGTGCTGTCATTTGCATTTTTTTTTTTTTTTAATATTGGGGATTGAACTCAGGACCTCGCACTTGCAAGGCAGGCAGAGGAACCACTGAGCTAAGTCCCCAGCCTGCATGCTTACTTTTAAATCTCCTTAATTTGTTGCATATAAAAATTCAGATAAAATATGAAAATATATAATCCATGGAGGATGCTTTGCAAACCAAAAAGTTATAGTGACAGGTCTGTGTCTTCTCCCTTGGGGAGAAAGCCAAATGGGGGCTGAGCTGAGCAGGAACTCATGAGGTTCTGGTCCCCTGGTTGCAGGTGATCAGTGGTCAGCAACTGCCCAAGGTGAACACCAAAGAGAAGTCCATTGTGGACCCCCTGGTCAAAGTGGAAATTTTCGGCATCCATGCAGACACAGCCCGGCAAGAGACCAACTATGTGGAGAACAATGGTGAGACTGGGTAGAGCTGGGAAGGAGGTAGTAGAGCATAACTGTCTCCCCTGTCCTGCCCTCCACTTTGTACGGTTCATGTCAATGCTCACCCCTCTGCTCAGGGGAGGCAATGTGGAACAGCATGAAGAATCCTACCCCCTCATAGGCTCCAATGACTTGGGAAAGCTGTTTACACATTCTGAGCCTGTGTCCTCATCTGTGAAATGCTGATTACCATCTAGATTAAATGAGAACACAGGGAAAGCAACTCAGTATGGGCATTTTAGGAAGACAGTCAGCGACTGTTCTTTTGTTTCCTCTAATCCCACCTCAGGCTTTAATCCATATTGGGGACAGACACTGTCCTTCCGGGTCCTGGTGCCTGAACTCACTATGCTGCGTTTTGTGGTAAAGGATTATGACTGGAAATCCCGAAATGAGTTTATTGGCCAGTTTACTCTGCCATGGACCTGCATGCAACAAGGTGAGATGGTTCTTGGACCTCTGGCCAACACACCACCTCTGGCTGCCTTCCTGACAGTCCTTTTGCCTTTTTCCAGGTTACCGCCACATACACCTGCTTTCCAAGGATGGCATCAGCCTTCATCCAGCTTCCATCTTTGTGTACATCTCCATCCAGGAAGAACTGGAGACTGAATCCTGAGGTGGGTACTTTATTCAAGGGTGGGTGATGGCTTTAGTGAGAAAAATCTGGAAGAATTGCCCCCAAGAAAGCAAATAGTGGTGAAAACTTAAGATTGTGCATTAGCAGGCACAAATTACCTTGCCCTTCCTAATAAGCAAATCTAGGACTTTCACCTTCTCTCTTCCCTTCTCTTGTTTTCACAAGTCTTTTGGTATCTTTCCTGCCCTTCATCTTAGTGTACACTGTGCTGGAATTTCCTTTTCCCATTGCTGTAGGCTCAGTCCTATATTCAGACCCATCATTAACCTCTCCCATCAACTCTGATGTGAAGGCAGATTGCGCCTGGAAGCCTGAGTGACTTGGAACATAGAAACCCACAGAAGTATTATCCTTTCCACTCCTAACTTCCTCAAAGCCCAGAGCCAAGGGAGAAGGATAAATCGAGGATCAAGCTCACCAAAGGTTGGGTTAGGAGACCTAAAACTGTACTGACTCTTCAGAGAATACTGCACAGCCCTCAATCTCCACTGGACTGCTCCTCATCTCCCTGCTGTAAATAGAGCTTTTCTCTCCAAATTGGCTCCTGAATGGTCTGTCATTGTTAGGAGACTAAGGTTTAAGTGGTCCCAGTCCTCTTGGAGTTTCCCTGGAATAGTTTTGGTTTATGGCTCTGTAAGTGTAATTATTAATAACACTTTCTTTAGTGTTGGTCAGAGAGAAGGCAGAGATGGGTCTCTTTCAGACCTATCTTCAAGTGAAGACAAAAGAGACAAGAGAGGAACAGAGGTCTAAGAAGGGACAGGGCATATCAAGATGACAACCTGGAAAAGTTAAGACAAGGAGCTGGACGAATCCATAAGCTGGTAGTCTTTCTCCATTTAGCATGCTTTATGGAGCATTAGGCACAATAGCACATGCAGTTAGATACAAACTTATTTAAAGATGCTGCAAGAAAACAGAACTTGATTCAGTAAGAAGAAAAGGGAAGACAGAGTGGATAAAATCCAGACCTTATTATATACAGGGACTCTTGAGTGATGGTGAAGAAACTAGAAATTCAAAGATTAAAAATATAGTGCACTTCAAGAAGAAATCAATGTTTTGGCCCGTATCTCTCTTTTATATAGCCACTAATTTCAAAGTACTATGACCAGAGTCCCAGGAGGGGTCATAGTCGAAATGGCAGCTCAAAGCCAGTCCTTCCTTAGGCCCTGAGAACCTCAAACTACTTCTGATCCTCATCTTTGGCCACAGCTCCTGTCTGGGAGGTGGGCTAGGCTCAGCCCTCAGGTCCAGTGGAGGGAGTGGCAGGAGCAGGAGGGCTGGAGTCCTCCAGCTTCACATCATGCAGATGCACAGTGGGGGTGGTAGGGTCTTTGCCCACGCTCTGGTGTGGATCAGCCTGGTCAGGGTGGTGCCTACGCACATGCTTGACCACCTGGAACTTCTGCTTGGCCTTGTAGCTGCAGAGGCGGCAGAAGAAGGGGTGACGATCGGTGTGGGTGAGGGCATGATGGCGCAGACCGGCAGCCCAGCGAAAAGCACGGTGGCACACGTTGCACACATAAGGTTTGGCTTCACTGTGCTTGCGAAGGTGGGTGCGCAGCAGGAAGCGTGTTTTGAAGGCCTTTCCACACTGCTCACACATGAAAGCCCGTGCTTCTCTATGTCGTGTCTCCCGGTGCACACGCAGTGCATCAGCCCGGTTGGTGCAATACTCACACTCAGGACACTGGTATGGCTTCAGTCCTATAGAAAAGGGGATAAATTATCACTATGGTGGCGTAAAATAAAGTTCGGTGGGCCATAAGGACATTGTGATACTGGGATATAAAGAACACAGGCAGAAGCTATATAATGACCATGTCTTTGGAATGTTCTGGTCCTGTGTGGTACTCTGTGTCCTTCTCTCAACACAGCCCTCGTTTGTGTAGGTGCCCCATGGGTGCTAATGAATAAGTGACCTCTAACCAACTGCTACCTGACAGTAATGAGTACTCAAATATGATAGGGTTATTGAATGGGAAATTCCAACCCTCTTTTGATCATGGGATATTCAGATTTAGGAATTCATTTAACTTCTTGCTCAACTCAAAAAGTAAAAGAATGCTTAAGAGAGAAATAGTAAAGATGAAAGGAGCAGCATTCATAGAAGCAGATGACCTTGAAATGCTCCTGATCAGTTCTACATATGGGTAAGCATATGCAATAATCACAGGCACATAATCATTAACCCTTTTCAGAGAAGCTCTGGTTTGTAGATTCCTTACTCAAGATCGGACAAGGATAAATTAGAACAGGAGAAATTTCCACTTTCTGCTCTGTACTTAAATGAGTATAGGAACCAGGTAGACCTGATCTCACTGAAGTTTGAATTGGGGTTCTCAATGGGGGGGGAACAACCCTGTACCACAAACACCTGGGAAGCTTTTGCAATGTACACGTGCTCTCTGGTTTATCCTCCTGTTTCTGACAGCTATTTAGTGAGTTGGGAGAAGAATATGATACATACTTTTTCAGCCTACCCTTGTTGCTCTGAGTCTGAGTCAGGACACATATCACTTTACTGAGGTCAGGCTTACCAGAGAACAGGGTAATACTTTAGGCCTGTCAAAACCCAGACTCACCTGTGTGCTTGGTCATGTGGTACTTGAGCTGGTTGACCCATTTGCACTTGTAACCACACTCAGGGCACAGGTACTTCCGTTCCTCCTTATGGATCCGCATGTGGTACTAACGAGAAAAACAAAAAGCAGAACATGTATATCCTGTGGTATTCACTGGATGGGGAAATAGGGATAAGCAGGCAAATAAAATGCTGGCAGATAACCTTGTTCCCAGCTCACATCCTATCTAAATTTAAGGTACCAAATGGGTTCTCCAGGATGGCCACTTTACCTAACCCATTCAGCTTCCTCCTAGGTCTGCCCTATCTCAGCTCTGCCACTTATTAGCTGTGTCCTTGGGTTAGCTAACCTTGAATTCTCAGTAATCTGTAAAATGGGGAACAGTAAAAGTATCCATGTCTCTTATCTTTAAAAGAATTAAAATTACAGTGCTGGGTATACAGTAAGTACTCAATAAATGTTAGCTGTTATTATCCAGATTACTCCAGAATTAAATGCCTTTATCACACTGGAAGCATGTAATACCGAATTTTATCTTTACAACTCTCTTAAATTGGTAAGTATTATCCCCTTCTTATAGGTGAGGGATCTGAGCCATAAAGAAGTCAAGGAACTCATCCAAAGTCACAGAACTAGTATTTGGAAGAGTTGGGATTAGAAGACCCAGAGCCTACACTTGCTCCATTCTTGGCCCCAGGGCCCTTGACCTTACCTTGAGGCGAGAGGGGTCAGCGCAGGCATAGGGGCAGAGATGACAGCGGTAAGGTTTTTCTCCTGTGTGGATGCGGCTGTGCCAAGTGATTTTCTGCCGGTTCTTGGTGCTGTAAGCACAATCAGTACATTTATAGAGTCGGGTGCCCCCATGCCCTTTCACATGGTGATCTAGCACCAGCTGATGGCGACATGCAAAGTCACAAAAGGGACAGTGCAGAGGGGGCTGGCCAGTGTTCCCATCCCCATCTGAAGCCGCTGTTCCTGAAGTCGCCTCATGCTGCTCCAGGTAGTGCTTCACCAGGCCCACCCGCTCCCGGGCAGCAAAGTCACACAGCTGGCAGCGGTGGCTGAAATGCTGCTGCCTGCGATGCTCATCCAGTGCGGGCCGGCTAGGGAAGGCCTCCTGGCAAGCCCCACACTCCAGCCGTGGGTGCTGTTTACGGGTGTGTCCTCGAAGACTGGCAGGGCTGGGGCACAGCAGCCCACAGTGGGAGCACTGCAGGGGGCCTTCAGCAGCCTCAGCAGGGGAGCCAGGGGCAGCATGGGTGGGCTCAGGGTGTCGGCGCAGGGCATGCTGCTTCAGTGCTGTCTCTGAGCTGAACTGAGCCTCACACTGGGAGCAGGCAAAGGCTGGAGTGCCCTGGTGGCAGCTGTTGACATGGCGAGTGATGTCATGGCGAAGATAGCCACTGTAGTCACAGAGTGGACAAAAGTGAGTGGGTGTCTTATCATGTACTCTTAATCGGTGCAAGCGCAGTTTTGAGTTGGTACCAAATGTCTGAGAGCAGGAGCTGCAGGGGATGCGGCCAACACCTGTATGTCGTGACTGGTGGGCCTCCAACCGATACCGCCTGGTGGTAGAAAAGTCACAGAAAGGACACTGATGAGGCTTCACTCCCTCATGCTTGAGCCGCCGGTGCTGCTGCAGGCATCGGCTCTGTTTACAAGTGAAGCCACAGTCCCCGCACTGAAGTGGGGGCCGGGGGCCTCGGGCTGGGGCTGCAGCAGGGTGCTTCCGCTTCTGGTGGAGCCTCAGGGCAGCAGCAGTGGGAGCGATGAATGAACAGAGGCCACAGTGCAGCTCTCCAGTCTGCCCAAGGGGACATCCCTGGGTCTGGTGAGTCCTTAGGGCTCGTTCCTGCTGGCAACTGAAGGGGCACATGTGGCAGGAAAAGAGGGCCACCTTTTGCTTCTGAGCTGAAGCTGTGACCCCATCACCAGGACTGGGCTCTGTACTCCCACTCCTATTACTCAGGGGTGCACAGTTTCCATTGCTCAGGTGGGTGCCTCGCTTTCCTCCCTGGCTACGTCCTCCCCGGCAGCCTTCAGCCACATGAGAGGTAATAGAGGAGAGCCGGGAACATAGGAATGTGCAAGAGTTGCAGTGAAACTTGCCATGCTCAAAGTGGAACTTCTCAGGGGTCTCTGTGGGTGAGCAGTTTCCTGTAGAAGGGACTGGGAAGTCGGAGGGTGTGATGAGAGGCTCCACTCCTTCTTCTGGCTCCCTGGGAAGCTTGGGAAGAGCCTCTTTTGGAAGCAGTAGCTCTTCTTCTAATGGTACAGGTGAGGGATTCCTGCCTTCAGTATCCTCTGAGGCCTGGGTGTCTGGAAGATGAGGATGCACAGGGATGGGAGAATCTGGTCTTGGTAAGCCCTTCTTCTTTTTGAGCAGAACTGGGCACTTCTTCAGCAGGTGGGTGCTGAGGCCACGTTGTTGCTTAAAGCTAGCCCCACACTCAGGGCACACCAAGGGCTCTCGGCGGCCCTGGCATCCTGTCCTGGAGTGCAGATTCAGGGCCTTCTCCCGGCGAGTGATAAAAGGGCAGTGTGGACAGCGGAAGGCTTGTCCTCCCTGGATCACTACCATCTGTACCCGTCCTTCCAGCACCAATGCTTCTGCTTGTTCTTTGTCCTGCCTCCTTAGAGCCTTGAGTAATGACTCTGACTCAGGAAACTGAGGCAAGGGTACCATCTCAGCAGGTGGAGTTGCCTTGAAGTTTTCTACCCAGCTGTTAGGGGCATCCTCTGAAGATGGAAGAGTTCTAGGGGGCTCAGGGACTGGTTTCTCCAGAACGGGTGATTCTTCAGCACCCAAGCCAACAGTCCCAACACCTTCGAAGCTGGACGCTGCTGGCCCTTCTCGGCCATCTGGCCCTTCCACTTCCAGAGGCCCAGAGGAATCCAGTGGCTTGAACCCCACAGGGGCTGTTTCATTAAGGTCCTCAAGGGGTGGCTCAGGTACAGGTTCCAGCTCCACTCCCAGGGCCTCTAAGTGTAATGTGCAGCTGCCCTCCTCCATTTCCACTGGGCTGGGACTGCCAACCAGGTCAACACCATGGAGAGCCTCACTGCCATTCTGTCTCCTGGTGCTGCCCTCCTCACTTATCTCTGGCAGAGCCTGGTTCAAGCTGGGATCCACCACAGTCCCAGGTTCATGGCTTGGGCCCTCAGGCTGGACGGACAGCTGGTTGGAGGGCTCTGAGTCTGGTGGGGGTGCCAAGCACTGTCTGGTCCCCTCTGGCCCTTGGCTGGCATCATGGAGCTGCCAGACCTGGTCCCCAGGCACATAGCCATGGGC